TGTGTCAACTTGACACAAGCCTTGTCACCTGGGAAGAATAAACCTCAACTGAAGAGTTGCCTTCATCAGACTGACCTGTGAACACGTCTATGGAGCATTTTCTTAATGTGCCCAGCCCACTGTGGGTGGCACCATCCCTAGGCTTAGGTGATTCTGTGTTGTATAAGAAAACCTGCTGAATAAGCCCCAGAGAACAAGGCAGTAAGCATCCCTCCCACACCCCCAGTTTGTACCTTGGCTCCTGCTTGAGTTCCTGCCCTGACTTCCCTCCATGATGGAGTTGTGACCTAGAAGCATAAAGCCAAATAAACACCTTCCTCCCCAAGTTGCCTTTGGGTGTGCCGTTTGTCCCAGAAATCGAAGAGCAAACCGGAACACCAGCCTCTGCAACCGCCAATCTGCTCTCTACCTGCGTGGATCCGCCTCTTCCGGACGGCTCATTTAAATGCGGCCTTCTGCCTAGCTTCTCAGTCGGATCAGATTTTAAGACCGACCCACGATGCAGCTTGCGGCAGAACCTCATTTCTCTCCGGAGCTGAGCTCTGAGAGCTGTGTGCTTGGGCTGCATTTGCATAGCCACTTATCGCCGACGAGCATTCGGTGTCTACTCGTTTGGCTATTGTAAGCGGCCTTTGTGTGCGGCAGATTTTGAACACCTGTTCTTACTTCCTTTCTATGCGCAGACAGGAGTGGGTTTACAGGTCAAGTGGTAGCTCTGGATCAGCATGGTCTCCACGGCAGCTGCGCTATTCATGGCCAGCTACAGTCTCTTACTTCCTTCACATGCCTGTTTTATTCTGAAGTTACTGTTACTCAGTCTTAGGCCCTCTTCTTGGGCTTTCTAGGCGGGGTGAAGCTGGTGGTTACTCGGGGCAATTGTTTGATCTGAATCACCAGAGCGTGGAGACTCATAGGCCCCGCCTATGGGGTCCCACTCTACGGTCTACGGGGTTCCTCAGGGATGTGTCGGGGCGCCTGTTCTGTACACTCATAGGGCAGCCTTACCATGAGTCCAGTGGTGAAACCCACAGATATGTCTTTCCTCTCTAAAAGTGGCAACATGGCAGCCGGCGACATCTCCAGAGGACTCACTTCCAGCGTGATGCGGAGTGTGGCTCCTGATTGGTTTTCATCATTACCAGTGTTGCCTAGGCATAGAAAATATGGGTTGGCAGGGGATCATTTAAGAGCCCTAACTATTCATCAAAGGGCACTATTTGAAGCCCTCTGAGGATGGTACCCACTCCCCACAGCCAAAGCAGCCAGGCATCCCGGGGACCTGATCTGGGAGGTGCCAGCCTCCTACAAGCAGGTGGACTTCCTCCGACGATCTCATTCTTTCTTCCCCAATCACTTCTTGTCTATGGCTTAAATTTATTCTCTTATAGTTCTAGAAGCCAGAAGGGAAAATCCAGGGTGTTTCTGGGCTGCCTTCCAGAGGCTTCTGGGAGAATTCCTCCTGTCTTTTTCAACTGTGGGAGGCACCACGAGCCTGCCTAAGGTGAGGTTCTCCCACATCAGTGTGATCCCCCTCCTTCATCCTGCCTGCCTCTGCCCTCCTCCCCCAAACCTTAGATGCCTTGTCGTATGTCTGATAATTGCATCTCCTTCCTGATAACCAGGAGGACCCTCATTTCAGGCTCCTTATCCAGGTCATCTGCAGCGTCCCTCACACCCTGTGCAGTGGCTTACCGGGCTGTTTCTCAACTCTCATGGCCTGGCATTCCACAGACTTGCTTTGTGTGGCCAGTGCTTATGACAGAGCACCTCTGTCTGCCAAGAGACCCGGCCTCCGCCCTTATTGTTCGCCATCCCTTGATTCAGGCGTCGTCTGAGAGATATAGAGACACACAGAGAGGGATAGAGACAGAGATGGAGAGCAAAAGGAGACAGATGTGGACGGGGGAGGAGACAGAATGATGCTCGGCATGGGAAACCTCTCAGATGGTTCCAGTCCTCTGTTTGCTATTGCTCATCTATCCTCCCGACCCGTCACACAGGTGCCTGCCCAGCTGGCTAACAGACAGAGATCTGGCCCTAGACTACAAGAGTGAGCTGCGCCCTCTGCTAACTGCAGACATGACCCATCCTGCTAGAGTGCAGGCTCCCCAGTGAAAGGGCCTATTTGTCATTTTCATTTCACCTGCAAGTCGCTAGTGTCTCAGATGCTCCTGGACTCCTGGGCTTGGGATGCCAACACCCCTGAACATTTCCCCTATTAGCCACTTGGGGGAGCCCACGCTCCATACTGTGGCCACAAGCCTACAAGGGGATTTGTTCAAAAGGTCCACATGTGTTGCCTACATTCATTGCACATATATTATGCATTTATATATTTCGTACATACACAAACACATATGTGTAGAAATTTAGCGACCCCTGCACCTCAAGGTTGGAAGGGTCATAGGCAAGACAGTCCTTTACAACACACGGGTTTGCCACTGTCTAGGAAGGAAAACTGCTCCACAGGCCTTGCCTTGGACAGGACTGTGTGCAGGGCTGTAGACACATCCTTTTCGTTCCAGGCCTTGCAGAGCTACTGTGCTTGAGACCCTCACATTCTCTGGAGCATTTTAACCTTGGCAGAAGGGGTCTGAGGTATCTCTCAGTGCCGGTGAGAGGATGGAAAACTAGGGACACATTTGCCACGTAACTCCAGGGATTTCTACCCAAAAGATAGGCATCCAAAGCCCCGGATATGCAGGTATCAACCACTGAGGAAGAAACTAAAATGACATCGTGAGGGCTGGGCATGGCTGGGCCACGTTTTCCACGTGGAATGGACCAAGCAAGTCCCTCACCATGCGTGCTGGTGTTTCTGTTCAAAGCTACATCCTGAAACGACATGCCAAGCTTCAGCGAATGATGCTACAGAGGCTCCATTAGGAGACGTGCAAAAGGAAGCCCAGACAAAAGCGGGGAGACCTTGCAGTGGTACCCAAGTCCCACATCCACTACAGCACCTCCGTCGACGCTAAGCAGCAGACATGGCGGGCGAGCTGGGATATTGTCTGCGGGACCAAGGGGGCTTCTGAATGTCAGAGCCTGGCTAAATGAGGCTGCAGTGGGGGTTCTAAGATCTTGGGAGTGCTTAGCAGGTCTGGGGGTGGTGGAGGCACGGAGCTGAGGCACAGCTGTGGCTGCTGCTTTCTTGGTTTATGCAGGGGGAACTGCAGCTCCCTCCAAATGCTCATGCATGTGCATCCGAGTCCCTGAGATCTTGTCACAGAGCAGTGAAGATGTGACTTGGTGGATCTGGGTGAGCCTGGGTGTATCGCCAGCATTCACATGATACCAGTGCTGTAGTCTTTGGGTCACATGTCTGAACAAAGTCTCAGTGCAAGATGTGTCCCAAATGGAGGCCTCCAGGGGCTCGTAAACCCCGTTCTCCCCTTGGGATTTTCTCCCCATCACTGGTTCAGGAGGCCAAGCGCCCATAGCCCGGTAGCCTGCATATTCCTCTAAGTCACCCACTGAATGACCTCTGATATTGGCTGAGTGATGAAGAAAATAGCGTGGCCCCGTGTTGTCACAGTCTGTCGCTGTAGTTTGGGAGATAATCACACACAGCCTGCCAGTCTGACGCTAAATGCCACGTGGACATGAAGCACAGCACAGGGCTGGGTGCCAGTCAGCTCTGGAAGTTAGGGTAGAAATTGTGCACGGAGGAGGCTTGCAGAATGTATGGGGTCAACTGGCGGGGAGGGAACTCCAGAGAGGGGCATCTTTGGCAGAGAAGAGCTGGGGGAGCTGGGTCACTGAGGAGAGCAAAGGATAAGGAGGTGCATCTGGGAAAAGGGTGAGGGTGGTGTGATGGTCACCGCTAACGGGCGTCCCTCCTTTTCGGCCTGTCAATTAGAGTCGGGTGGGGCGGGAACTAAGGCTCCTTTTCTACCGGAAACTGCTTATACCTGGGGAGCCAGGCAAAGAGTGTGACTCTACAGAGAACGTCCACCAGGGGGCAGCAGAGCAGAGGGCTCAGAGGTTCGGCTCTAGAATTCTAGAACTGAAGGAGGCCTGCGGACTTCTAGACACCCTGAGGCAGAGGCCAGAGACCTAGCAGGCAGTCCACAATCTCCTTTTTTTTGTGTGTCTTATTTGCCCTCTGTTACTCCTTTGGGATGGCAAGTTCCCAGGAGGACACTGCGGTCCTGAGAGACATGCTCACTCCGCCTCATCCTCGGGACGTCTGCATAGCAGTTCCAGGTAGCCATTCCCCTCGTGCACTGTTGAAGGGCCCGACAGATGCACGGGAGATTTTCCAGATGGCAGAAGTGATTAAACCCTGGATCAGCTGTGAGGAGGGGTGGTGGAGCGGTCTGGAACACAGGTGGACAAATTTATTCAGTGTGCTGCGGCGGGTCCTACCTCGTGAATATCACCCGTGTGCAGTCTCTGTGGACCTCCCACCCTCTTGGCATGCAGAGAAGGCTCGTGGTAGAGCGTGTAGGAGAAGGCATCCTCAGGTCTGGGGAGACAACGCCCGCAGTCGGGTTTGCAATCGTTAAGTGCGAATGAGGACACAGTAGCAGCTCGTTCCTTCGTTCATCTCCAATCCGTTCGTTTAGATGGAAAGACGGTGGGGGGAAAAAGAGCTGAGACTCCAGCAATCTGTGTATGCACTGAGGGTCTGCCGAAGTCCACAGACGTCCCGTGTGCACACGGCCACACTGAGGTCCTCGCTCCGCAGGATCTTGGCACCTGAAAACAAATCTTATGTGACCCCCGTGCTTCAACTGCAATGACCAATGGAGGCCACACGTCCCTCTCCTGTCACGTACTTTAGCTCCCAGGAGCAGCCCCGGAACCGCCGGAAATGCCAACCTATCAGGTTGCGGAGCCCTTTCAACAGGCCCATGATTTTCAACAGGCACATGATTGATGTTCTTGCTGGAGAAGCTGTTTTGCGGGTGTCTGTGGCTCCCAGCCCTGTGGCCTACTATGTGTGAAGCTCTCTGCGGGTGACAGACAGCAGTTTCTGACTTTCTTTTCATTTTCAGCACAGGTGTAACCGTGTGGCCCGTGATCTAGTGTCCCAGAGGTATGATGTGGCAAATGGCAGGCGACTAGAAGAGGTATTGGGGACATATGACCTGACCTGTAAATACTTCCCTCACACGGCTGGTTACCCATTTTTGCCTTGCTCTGTGTGTGTGTGTATAGTCTAGCGGTCAATGTTGGGTATCTTTCCCTATTGAATTCCACATTATTATTACTATATTTATTATTAATACTATGACTTTTTAAGGAGTTCAACTTTTTATTCTACTATTTTTAATTATGGGTGTGTATGCGGATCTGTCTACTTACATATGTGCAGGTGCCTGCTGAGGCCAGAAGTGTAGGTTCCCTTGGATCTGGAGTTACAAGCAGTTGTATACCTCCCAACATGAGTGCTGAGACTCAGGTCCTCTGGAAGAGCAGCATGTGCTCTTAACCACAGAGCCAGCTCCCCAGCCTGCTCACTTTTTTGAGACAGGTTCTCTCTCTTTCTCTCTTTTAACATTTTACTTTATTTTTCAAACTTTTACTTTATGAGCATTGGCGTTTTGTCTACACATATGTCCTTGTGAGGGTGTCAGTTCCCCTGAAGCTGAGGTTGCAGATGGGTGTGAGCTGCCAGGTAGGCGTTGGGAATTGAACCCAGGTCCTCTGGAAGAGAAGCCAGTGCTCTTAACCATTGAGCTATCTCTCCAGCCCCAAGACAGGGTCTCTTGCTGAACCTGGATCTTGCTGGTTGGTTGGACCCGCTGGTCAGGAAGCTGCAGGGATTTCCCCTGCCTTTACCTCCCCAGATGTGTGTTACCATGCTTAGCCTTGTACAGGGGTGTTGGGGATCTGAACTCAGATCCTCATGCTTGCACAGCAAGTGCTCTCCCGAGGGAGCCATCTTTGCCATGCATCCTCCTTCCTTCTGGCTTGGTGCAGGCTACCAAGGATACATGAGAGGACATAGTTGGAGGAACTTGTTCTGAGTCACACGTGAGGAGTGCTGTGGCCACTTGGGGACCCTTGAATCCCTGCCTGTGATGGATAAGCAGCGATCTCTTGTCAGGTGTTATTATTCACAGCAGCTGGCCCTGACCTCCCTACTTCACAGAGCTAGATTCCCTGTGATCCACAGACATAGCAGCCTAAGGTTGGAATGGATCCCAAACACGGGGCATTTTGGTGTTGGTGGCATCTCACCGGGGCCGAGGAAGGGTAACAAAGCCACATCTCTTTAGCCCTTGCTGAAAGTCACCCACCCATATTCTGAGAAGAGTCAGGTTTTATCACATAGCTTGGGGACCTGAGGCAGTTCTTGGAGTTTTGCTCAGCCCTCAGCATTTAGAGGATGGACAAGGGACTGGTGGTTTTAGCATTGTAAGTTCATGAGACATGTCCACGGAGCTGCAGCCAAGGGTGTGGCTGCCTGGCCGTTGCATCAGATCTGGCTGGGGAGCTGGGGGTGGCCGGCTTGGCTGAGAACGCTCAAGCATGTGTAAACATTTTTTTGCCCTGATATCAGCTGTGTTACTCAGGGTTCTCCGCTGCGAGTGCAAGACAGAGCCTGGCTCGCTCAGGCCAGCAGGGAGTCTCCAGAAGGATGCTGGGGTCTGTAGACTCAGGAGTGCTAGAGGGTCAGGCTTGGGTAACAAAGCCAACGGAGGAGCAGGGACAGACAGGCTAGACCACGGGGGTCCTGCTCTGACTCCACGAAAACAGACTGTCCGCTGTTTGGGTCACAGTCCCAGGGAAGAGGGCAGACGCTAAAGAGGCTGTGTCAAGGGTTCATGGTGACACTCTGGGTGGGAAGTGAGGATCTGCCTCATTTGGCTCAGGACATTCTACTGTCTCTCGCCACGCCTGACGGGATGGCGAAGAAGCCAGGGTCGATGGGGAACCATGCTCACTGTTCAATTTTATGCCCCTTTAAACTAAGGGGATCCCAGAGAGTGGATAATCTCCTGTGTGTGGTCATTTGGGGACTCAGGACGGCTTAACCATCGAATCTGAGCCCTCTGCCTTCAGGCAGGGGAGAAGGAAAGAAATGATCTCAAGGACTGTAAAATCCCCGGCTGGCCCAGACTACATCGGGTGGGTGGGGTGGGCAAAATCCACATCACATTTACTCACATTCCCAGAAATACCATGTCACCATGAGGGATGCTGGGAGGTGTGATAAGTGGGAGGAACTGGAGAGTGCCTGGTGCTTTTGATGTAGGAGACTTATGGCGAGGGAGAGAGGGAAGGAGGGGGGGTGGGAGAGGGGGGAGGACATATGACGACGATGATGATGATGGCATGGTGAGAATGCCTGTCAAGGGGCAGGTAAAAATTCTTTGGTATCTATCTACTCTGAGGGCTGACATGGAGGGGTGGGACCTGGAAAATGGTCCTCTCCTAAGTGTGGAGGAGAGGAGGAGGGCAGGCAGCTGTCCCGTGTCAGACCCTTTACAAAGGCAGCTCAGGGAACTGCAACAAGGCCCTGATTAGTAAGTAAGTATGCTCTTTCCAATTCCACGACCAAGCTCAATGAGCGGGCTTCCAAAGGCTGCGTGCTTCCCACCTCTCTCTCCCCTCCCCTTCCTTCCTTTACCTCCCCCCCTCCCCTCTCTCTCCATGCAGGGCCAGGTTGGAGCCCAGGGCTTCCTCACACACACCCCAGAAAAGCTTTCCTGCTGAGCCGTGCCCCAGCCCATCAATCTTGTCTGTCCCAAAGTACATCCCACGTTCCATTTACCACCCAGGATAAGGACCCCTGGGTTCTGGCCCGGAACAGAAACAGACTGATGTGCGTGGGCAAGGGGGTGGTGGAGTGAAAGCTATACCATTTGGTGGAGGTGACCCATGAGCCCAAGCCTGTAGAAGTGAGCTGCATTTCTTCTGTGGAGAAAGGATTTGAGGTGGGGAGCTTGGGTGGGAGGAGCTGGGAGGGAGGAAGGAGGGGAAGGGAATTTATCTGACTCAAGTGAGAGATGTTATTATTACCAAATATTTTCTCTAATTGCAAAAAAATTAAGGGGCTGAGGGATGCCAAGAAAATAAAGTACATATGCACTAGGCGTTGGCTTTTTTGGCAAAGGAAATTTGTCTGTAATCACTTTTACAAAAGATATAAAAGGAATTGCCTCCCCAAATGTGATCACTTCAGCCTGGCTTTTATCTGTTTCTTCAGAAACATCACATTTTGAAGGGAGTCGTATTAGCTGAAGATGGTGAATTTGTCTGGTAATTGCTTCCTATTATAAATCTAAGCAACGTTTAACACCACCCAGGAATGCAAAATTATCAGGAATGCTAAATGGAGAAAGGTTCTTTTGCTAAGTTTTGTTTTCCTTGTTGAAAACAAGTGTTTTTTTTTTTTTGGGGAGGGGGTTAATAGACACCGTTTTGTATCACATAGCAAGATTATGGGTTGTGGATGACACAGTCCCCAGATCCCTACGGGGTGGTGGGTCTTGTGTTAGCCAGCAGGGATGTCCAACCGTATTCACTGTAGACAAGAATTATCCACCAAGGAGAGGGAGGGGTGAAGTGCCCTGCTGCTGGCTCTTTGCTGTATGTATTTAAATATCGGTGGGTACAATGGTATCAGGAGGTGATTAGGTCTTGAGGGTAGAGCCTTGGTGACTGGGATTACAAAGGGAGCAAGCAGCCTGCCTCCCCCACAGGACCCACGAGAGCTCGCCATCTTTGAACTGGTGTGTTAGTGACTGCCCCCATTGCCCTGGCAATCCCTGGCAGAAGCTGCTTCAGGGGGCACACTGCTTATGTTGGCTCAGTTTTGTGGGTTGAGTCCCCTTTGTTGGAGTAAGCATGGCATCTGGAGCCTGTGACCAAGCTTGTTCAGATCTTGTCGGGGTCTAAGCCTCCAGGGCACCCAGCAGTCCATATCTGCTAAGTAGGCCCCAATTCCCAGAGTTTCCACAGCCTTCTAAAGCAATGCCATCTGCAGGTGAAACGAGCATGCAAACCCACGAGCCCGGGAGATAGTCCTCAAGCAAATCTTACCAGTTGGGAAGCAAGTGCCAGCTTTGTCAAAGCTTTGCTCTTGAACTTCCAGGCCCAGGACTGTGAGCAATGAACTCTCTATAGTTCATGGGTGAGCCAGGCCAGGGTATTTTGTGCTCACATCCCCAAAGGACTAAGGCAATTTTTAACCAAACCCACTTGTTATTGTGTTTTCAAATCATTTGATACCAGCATATTCACAGGAATTAAAAAACTGGACCCTGGGGCCTTATTTTTTTTCTGCTTACATATTTTCTGCACATTTGAATTTGCAGTGTTGTAAAACCAAGCGTTTTACACAAGATTAGAATCTCGTAGCTTCTCCACAAAACCCAGAGATCTTGTGAAATAGAGTCACCAGTTCTCCTGGGCAGAAGGCTGGATGAGAGAGATAGGGAGTAAGAGAAAAGTGAAGGGAGGGGAGGCCAGAGACAGAGAGAGGGAGGGAGAGAATATAGGAGAGAGGGAAGGAGAAAGGGAAGAGGAGGGAGGCATAAAAGAAGGCGGAAGGGGAGAGAGGAATAGAGTATACATGGAGTCCCCACATGAATTCCCAGTGTCACCACACAAGGGTCCCTCTGCCATTGCTCCATGCTCCCTCCAAGCTGACTGGCATACAGAGCTGGTCTGAGCTCAGATCCCTGCTGGGGTCCTAGGCTGTAGCTCAGATGTTTCTGTGTCTTTTCTTCTGCTTCTATCCATCATTTCATGTTTCTTGAAAGGCTGTGAAGTCTCTGGGCGTGAGGTCATCACACTTATCTATGTCCCTTGCTGTGTCACACAGAGCCTCCATCATCTGGTGCTCCTTGCTGGCTAGTGGCCGATTCTAACAAGGGACAGCTGTGCAGAACAAAATGCATGGCACGTGGGCTACTGGGCTCATTTCTTCTTTGCTTTAAAAAAGTCATCTTTGTTTTGATGTGCATATTTACTTTGTCTGCACATGCAGTACCCCATGGAAGCCAGAAGAGGACATTTGACCCTCCAGAGCTGGAGTTATAGATGGCTGTGAATTGCCATGTAGGTGCTGGGAATCAAACACAGGTCCTGTGGATTAGCAGTCTGTATTCTTAACCATTAGCAGTCCGTATTCTTGACCATCGAGCCATCTCTCCAGCCCCACTGATTTTTTCTCCAATGGGATGGTAGATGCTTCTGGAGGGCAGCTAGCCTGCCCAACAGGAGATAGTCATAGAAGCCTCATAGCAAGCACAGGAGAGTAGAGGTCACCTGGAGACAGCTCAGGACTCCTTAGCTGCTGTCTTCCCATCTCTCTAAGCAGGCCAGAAAGAACGTTACCTTGGGTTCTGTCAATATTGAGATGTTAGCTCTTGTGGAGGCACAGAAAGGGTAGGCAGTCCACCCTCTCCCGACACACACACACACACACACACACACACACACACACACACACACACACACACACACACAGCTGTTGTTCAAATTCTGAAGCACTAGGTTTGATAACAAAATAATGGGTGGAGATCATACAGTAAAAACAAACAGATAAACAAACAAACAACCATCCTGAAAGTCACAAGTCTTCATGTGTGCCTCAGAGCTGTGCAAGAGGGACCTTTGCAACTCAAGCATTATGTGGACCTCCGGAGGTCATAACCACGCATGGGGCTAGATGTCACGGATGTCACCACTCCCTCAGCTCACTAGAGTAGTGTTTTCCTGGTATTCCTCTGCTCGTGTCTTCCCTGTGCCCGCCACACAGGTAAGATGCACACAGAGTATAAGAGAGTGTGTGTGCTTTGCCTAAACAGTGTTCCACCAAGACAGTGGCTGTTTTTCAGGACTCATGCCTATGAGAGTTTCCCATTAGTACCTAGAGTACCTTGAGTTTCTTTGAGTCCCTAAAGTCCCCGTGGTCCTGAAGCCTGCTTCCTGCCTCTTCTGTGACAAGTCAAGGCTCACTTCTGGGAAAATGATGGCCTCTGCTGTGCATGGTTGGCCCTCCTGCATATTCATTTGCCTGAATTCATCGATTGCTATTCTCTATCCCGTTTCTTGATAAGGGAAGTGAAAATGATCTCCATTTCTCTGGAGTGTTATCAGAAGACTGTTCTAATGACATCGTTGCTGGCAGTCAGAGAAGAGGGCGGGACCTGGGGCTTCAGGCACCTTTTTCCTCACAAGACCGAGCAGCCATGTCCAAGGCTCCAGTCAAACCTACAGTTGGTTATTAACGGTCTTTCCTTCCAGGGACCTATCCGTCTCCCTTTGCTTCTACATCAGAGGTTCTTAACCTTCCTAATGCTGCTTCCCTTTAATATGGCTCCTCACGTTGTGGTGATCCCCAACCTTGCAATTATTTTCGTTGCTACTTCATAACTGTTAGGAATCGTAATGCAAATATATGCTGTGCAGGCTGGCCATGAGCGACACCGATGAAAGGGTTGTTCTACTCTCAGAGAGGTCGCGCCCCACGGGTTGAGAGGCGCTGTCCTAGAGGGTCACAGTCACAGACCCTCAGCGTTAGTTGCTGCCACCTTTCTTTCTGGCTTCGGCATCTTCTCTTTTCCTTGTTACCCAGCTATGCTTCTTGTCACTATTTATTCTAGCCTTGCAAAACACCCAAACCAGACACACTCCACCCGCAGTTTAAATGGTTAGGTGTTTGCACTGTGCTTACCTGGACGCATGCGTTGGCCCACGTCCCGCTTTGGTCACGTGCAAGAAAACAACCTCCCTCTTTTCTGTGCAGCCCTAGCAAACCTAGTTGGCCCCTACGCCACTGCCATTTTAGCTCAAATGTACTGGAAAAGTGACATATGGGAGATGTTTGGCTGCCTCCTCCAAGCATCCATGTTTCCCTGTCTGCGTTCATCGCCCTTGAATTCCTGCCAGGAGCTTGCAGCTAGCTGCCCTACCTCATCATAGTCTCTCCTCAGAGAGAGAAGAGGCCAAAAATCCTGCAACCCCCCCAGACGCCCACTGCGCATTTATTCTGTTGCTTCATTCCATCCAGACTGTCGTTTTGAAATTCTTTGTAACGCACCTCAGAATCTTATCAGCGAAGCAAATGGGAGTCACGCTCTTTCCTGATTAATGAGCACACTGCTGGGTGTATCAGCCCCAGACTTCCATGCCTTGTGGTCGTGGTCAGGGAGCAGGGTTATTGTATAGGGGCCCTCGGCAGGGTGGAATGTGTGGGGTTAAATAACCAATCTTTCTCTTGGGAGGAGGACGCTAAGAGACTGGGAAGGTTTCCAGGGTCTTTGAATTGTTGCACACGAAAACATTTTGCAAAAACTTAAAAAAAATAGTTCAGGAGAATGTAGCCGGAGTGTGTCTCTCTGGGACACATCTGTGGGAACAGAGTAGAAGGGGAACCCAGGCTGTGTGTGGCTTTGTGTGTTTGGATTGCTAGGCTCCAATATCAGGGTAACAGAAAACTTTGCAAATGCACATTTCTTTTTGTAATTTTTTTGGAATGTTTGGATAAGTGGTGTGTTTGGTGTCATGGTCAAGAGCTTGACTTGGAGGCTAGGCCTGGGGACACTGACCCATAATCCCAGCTATGTGGGGTTGGTGGCCGAGGTAGGAAGATAATAAATTCAAGGTCTGTCTGGGTCACTATGCTTTCCGAATTTCTTCCTGGGGTAGGGTGGGATGGGGGTGGGGATGGGGCAGAAACAATGTCTGCTTCTTCCCCCAAAGGTCCTGATGACAAATCAAAGTGTGATTTCCCCAAAGTTCACCCCAGGGGAACCAATGGGCTTATTGAGCTTACTCACAGAGCAGGGGTAGTGACTACTAGTGAGATCACGGGTGGCCCCAAACAACCACACTGGAAAATCTTCATCCGGCATAGAAAATGGCTTCCTGAGAGCTGCAGAGACTGAGACCCCTCCTATTGCCCTTTTCAGCCTGAGTCCACGCCTCCTGAGACCCCCGAGGCCACATGCAATCAGGGAAGAATTACCTGCAAAGGCCAGGAGAAGCAGCGGCTTCAGGGGGAGGTCCAGTGATGCTCAAACCTTCTCTGAGGGAACAACAGTCACCAAGACCTGTCGTGATGGTCTCTTGCAAGCTGGCACGGCTGATCTGATGGACGTGGTGGGTGTTTTGCTAGGAAGATAGCATTCTACAACACTCTGTCTCAACATAAAAGGTAAAAAAGCCACACCCCCAACTGAACCAAACCTACCAATGCCCTGAAAACAAACAAACAAACAAACAAACAACCCTCAAGACTGACCTGGAATTTTGCTCTTGTACTCACTAGCTGCCCTTATTTCCTTCTCTTCCTATAAAGATGTTACAACAGCACACGCCCCACAACATGATCTTTGGCCTTGGCAGTGAAGATGGAGGTGGCGTCTAGGATGGCAGTGAGAATAAAGAGGAAGACGCTTTGTCTAAGATGACATGGATACATGGGAGATACCAGTTTCTTTCTCCTCTGTGGAGACTCCACTCGACTGCGCAGTGCTTGTGACTGGGCATCTGTCACTCATGACTCCACAGACGAAACATCCCAGAGCCACCTGAAGACATGCTTGTCATTCAAACTCTCAAAAGGGTCACAGTTCTTAGTCTACTGCCTTATTTTCCAGAATGAGCTAGAATTTCATCACTCCCATGCCTCCTGCTGGCTCCCAGCTTGGTAGTCACATGACTTCAAGGCTATTTTCCCAATGAAGGGAAAACAAGATTGGTTATAGGCACAGTAATGATTTTGGACTAAGGGCCACAAGCAAGGCAATTTCTCCCATTTATCCACTGGCTGTTTCTGTGGGTCTGAATGAGATGTGTGTCCCTCAGAACAGTACCTGCCAATTTACTTTGCTGGCTTGTAATCAAAAGTTCATTGCTCTCGTCTCTCTCTCTTTCCTTCTTCTCTCTCTTTTTCTCCTCTCCTCTACACACACACACACACACACACACACACACACACACACACACACACACCCCACATGCACAAAAGCACACCTCACACAAATATACTTAGACATAGCTACACCCTTCTGTGCACAGTCATACACACACACACACACATCCCATCTCAATGCTATCTTCTCCTCTGAATCATTGTTATTCTGTTCTTACAAATTATTTAGAAAGATCTGGAATTGTTGGGCCATAGATTAGGATCCCATATCCTTTGGCTGGTCTCCCCACTTCATATATAAAATACAATTTAGAGCAGAAACCAAATGCCCTCTGAAGGCTATGCTGTTCCACAGTTTAATACACAAACCAAGATAGATTATAGACTTCTGTTTTCCACATTGATAATTTTCACTCAGCACTCTCCTTGTCCAATAATAATCTCTGAGCACATGTACAAGAAAAACAATAAAACTTCATCACTATACCGCAGGACTAGCCCGCATGCCATCTATTAACGTGATTGACAGCAATTAACTAGCTTCCTCTGGGATCTAGGCTCAGGAGGTATGGTCCTCGGTCACTGCATAAATAGTATATTTTTCTTGGGTGATGTAGATCCCTCTGGAATTACTGTTCAGGCAGGAGGATGAGTTCATGGCACAGCAGCTTAGTGTTTCCAACAAAGTGTGGCTCAAAGTTATCCAAATGTCAGGGTCAGAGCAACACATAGCATGGACCACCTGGGTGTCTGGTTAGACACGATCTTATTCTGGGGAGATACCGGAAACCCCATCCTCATGGTCCCTCTCTCCCCATGTCCCCTGCCTCTATGCTTCCCTCCAGACCCCATACCAGGTTTCCAAAGCAGCAATGAGCATTGGCCCTGCTTTCAGGAGCCATGGCATCTCCTCCCCCCAATCTATAGGTACTCTATGTGGGATGCTGATGCTCAGACCACACCCTGAGACAAACCCTGGCAGTATGTTCCTAAAGTGAGCTCCAGACCCATTAAGTGGATGGTGCCTCTGCCACTCCACCCCAGAACAGTCTAGTGTTCCCTGGGTGTTTTAGAGCCTGGGAGGTTTGTAACCCTCTCTTCCCCAGTGCTTAGGGCAGGAAGCACAGGATCTCTTGGCAGCATTATCAGTCAAACTTCCAGGAAAATCATCTCTTTGCTTTTTGCAAAGGATGCCGCTGGTGATCATCTTTGGAACAAGTGAACAGTCGAGAGCGCAGTCTAATGAGGTACTCGTCTCCAGGACCGGAGGGCCTCTGGGATTTCAGTTCCTTTCCCTTGTCTTTTCCACTAGCCTAATAGCACTCCATTGGTTGGTGCAGGTGACCTTTCTAAGGACTGGGAGGTTAACAGTCGTTTGAAGGATGCAAAGGGAGGAAGGTGCCTTGTATCTGGACATACCACTGAGGAGTGGCCATTGAGAAAGGAGGGGCATTGGGGAGATCGGGAAGGAGCTCTCTCCTTTTTAAAAAAAATGTGTGTGTGTGTGTGTGTGTGTGTGTGTGTGTGTGTGTGTGTGTGTGTGTGTATTTAAACAAGGTCTTCCTAGGTAGCCCAAGCTGGCCTTGAGCTCGCCATTTTCTTCCTCAGGCCTCCCGAGTTTTGGGATTGTAGTCATAGTCATGCACCAATACAACACAGCCTTCTTGTTTTCTTCCTTCCTTTTTTTTTTTTTTTGGTTTTTCGAGACAGGGTCTCTTTGTGTAGCTCTGGCTGTCCTGGAACTCTCTCTGCAGACCAGACTGGCCTCGAACTCGCAGAGATCCGCCTGCCTCTGCCTCCCAAGTGCTGGGATTAAAGGTGTACGCCACTGCTGCCCGGTCCTTCTTGTTTTCTAAAAGTGACTTTTCAGTGACTGACCCACCAAGAGCCACCTCCTGCCCACCTCCTGCCCAGCTCCGCTGACAGAAGGGACACCTTCCAGGGACACTTAGGAAATACTGCATATGAAAACAAATAGAGGGTCTCCCGGAGACAGATGCTCAGGGGGAACAGTTCTGGGGTATGCACTGGCTGTGAGCGTGCTGTGGGCGGGGGAGGGCTGGCCAATGAAGAGCGTACACACTTAGACAGCCTCTGTGGCAGGCATCATACACCTGAAGTGTCACAAAGCTTCAGGAAGAAGTCCTTTCCACTCTGTAGAGGTTTCCGAAGGGTCCTTGCTGAGCCGCCTGTGCATGGGATAGACAGGGAGACATGGGACAACGGACTGGACTTAGGGGAGACATCAGAGCCCGCCTCAGAGCCGGCCGAGTAAAGGGATGCCCGGAAGACACGGGAAACAGTGTGTTAGTGTTAGGTAGCATTATATAGTGAGGAAGGAGGCATTCTAAGATTGGTTACAATCTGACTTGGACAGGAAGCTGAGCCTGGCATGGTGGCACCTGCCTGTCACCCGAGCACTGGGCAGGCAGAAGAAGGAAGACCAGCTGTCCAAGGCCAGCCTCAAGTTCATAGTGACTTCAAGGCCACCCTGGGCTACGGGACACTATCTCAACCCATCCCCTGCTCAACAACAGGAAGCTGACCAGGAAAGCGTGTGTGTGTGTGTGTGTGTGTGTGTGTGTGTGTGTGTGTGTGTGTGTGTGTGTGTGTGTGTGTGGTGGGTGGCGGCATCGTGACTCCCGTTTGGTTGGAAACTATGAGGATGGTGATGTTTGGAAGTGACTGGGCCTGTAACAGGAAAAGTCAATAACCCTCTTACCTGTGAGTAATTGCCTGTCTCTGGAGATCTCTAAGCAGGGAAGCGATAGCGAGTCACTGATTATGCCTCACCTCTGGCCTGGGATACAGCTGTTAATAAGCGCAGTTGTTCCTTTTCTAGATTGTCAAAGAAATCTAGGTGACCAATTTAGGAAGTTTGTCCTTCTCTAACAAAAGCATTCAATGCTATGTATTTTCCTCTGCTCACAGCCTTGGCTACTCCCCAGTGTAACACAATAGATTTCCATTTTCACTCAGTTCAAAACATTTTCTGGCTGGGCGGCGTTGGTGGTGCACACCTTTAATCCCAGCACCGGGGAGGCAGAGGTAGAGACAGGTAGGTCATCTGTGAGCTCAAGGACAGCCTGATCTATATAGTGAGTTCCAGGATAGCTAGTTCTACACAGAGAAACTTTGTCTCAAAAATGAAAAATAAAAAAATAAAAATTCTGATTTCTCTCCAGGGTTACTTCTGAGCTCACAGGTCACGTAAGAGCATTGTTTTAATTGCCCAGAGAGTGGGGGCTTACCTGTTATTTTTCCTGTTTTGATTTATGGCTCAAGGTCAGTGTCCAGAGGGCATATCTTATCTGGTTTCACTTCTTTAATATCGACTCGATTTTATTTTACAGTTCGAGATAACGTTCTGTCTTGGTGGCTGTCTTGTCTCCTGCGCAATTGAGAAGAGCATGGATCGCGATGTTGTTGATGATGTTGTTGGGCGGGGCGCTCCATAAATGTCAATTAGATCCAGATGGCTGCTTGCGCTGGTGCGTTCTGCTAAGTCCCTGGCTAATTTTCTGCCTCCTGGTCCTGTCTGAGGCTGTGTTAGTCAGCGTTCTGCAGAGAGACAGAGCCAGTGGGATAGCCACCTCCTATTGATCTTCTGTCTTCTCCCTCCCTTCAGAGAACGACATGAGAACAGGTTCCTTGGTCACTGAGCCTGAGTTGTCATCCACTGGGTTGCCCTTGTTCCTTCCCCACAAGCTGGGGACTCGGGACTGCAGGTGAAAGTCAACCTCAGTCTGGAGGCCAAGAGTTAGCATCTCTGACGGCCAAGGTCAGGAGAAGATGGAGGAATCTCAGCTCAGGGAAAGGGGGCAGAGCACGTAGGTTGGGAGAGAGGGAAGGGGAAGGAGAGAGGGGATAGCGAGAGGAAAGGGGAGGGAAGAGAGGTGGTAGGAGGGGTGGGGGAGAGAGGGAAGAGGAAGAATGGGAGGAAGGTGGGGAGGGAAGGAAGAAGGGACAAGAAGAAGAGGAGACAGAAGTAGAGGGAGGGAAGAAGAGAAGGAGAGAGAAGGGAGAGAATAAGGAGAGAATCAACAGACAACAACAGAGACATTGCCCAACACGACGGTGCACACCTTTAGTCCCAGCACTCAGGAGGTGGAGGCAGGCAGATCGCTAAGTTTGAGGCCAGCCAGGTCTACAGAGTGAGTTGCACGACAGCCAGGAATACATAGAGAAACCCTGTCTTACACAACAAAACAAAACAAAATAAAACAAAAGACAGAAGAAATAAAGCCCCTCCCTGCCATGCTTGGCTTTCTGGGCTGATGGGCTTGCCCAGCAGGGCAGGTCTTCTTGTCTGGGTCCACAGATTCAAACCCTGGTCATCTCAAACACATGAAGGTGACAGGCAGCATTTCTTCCAGGATGCTGTTTTGTGTATCACTCTTCCCCTGTTCCCTGACAGGGGTGACGTCATCCTTCCCCTCTCGCCCCGCAGGTCTGAGAAACACTTCCCCTGTTCTGATTAGTTCTCTCTGCTGTTCAGATTACTTTACCCCTGTCTGTGTGTCCTCAGACCCGGCAGACACCCTTCACTCATAGGCCTTTTCAGTTCTGAATTTTTCCATCAGGCGCTCAGCTCTTTTTTTTTTTGTCACCTTTCTACACAGTGAGCTAGAAATATTGTTTGTACAGTTTCTGGGGATTGCTTTTCCCTGCCTCTCAGGGATCCTTCTGTGTCCTCCACGTTTGTCCTCAGCCCTCTGGGATGCCCATGCTACTCACCCGAGTGCCCTCACTGTGGCCTCTCTGAGGGCAGCTAGCTCATCAGTGCTGTCTTAATGAGTAGTCTTAACTGGGGACCATTCCCTCTGAGGAAGCAGCGATGGGACCAGAGCCCAGAATCTTTCAGGTGGGAACGGGGCTGGGGTGAGACAGAGCACAGGGTCTTTGGAGTCAGCCAAGTGGCTCTGTCAGGCTGGGCTGCTGTGACCTAGAGGCTCAAACAGTGGACATGCGTTTCTCACAGTTCTAGAGACCAGGAGCCTGAGGTTGTGGTACTGATGGCTGGAGCCAGGCATCGGGGGTGGGGGTGTCACTTGCCCTGGTGGACAGGATGTTAGCTGCCATGTCTCAGTGCTTCCTCCCATGAGAGAGGAGACATCTCCTCCTGCCGTGTCTCAAAAGGAGAGGCATGCCCTTCACGAGGGTTTCATCCTTTAGACAGCCGTATCCACCAAGGTCATCACACTAAGTTCCAGAACTTTCACCTAGGAATCAGCATGGGGATCGCACAAATGTTCAGTCCATAGCCATGAGTTGGAGGTGGTCAGATGGGGACTGCTTGGGTCATAGGAAGGGGACAGACCGTTCTGAAGACTTGACATAAACCATGGTGCCAAGGGAAAAGCTATGAGATATGATTTAAGTTCTGCCGGGCTCTCAGGCTGGTGTCTGGAGGGTGGGCGATGGGACAACAGGCAGGGTTGGGGGGCTGTCTGTCCAGTGGACGTGCAGAGCAGCTTGCTCATGGGTGCTGGCATGTAGATGTTGGTGGGGATGGAAACAAGCAATTACTAATGTAAAAGGTCCAATTTGTAGTTATATTTATACATGCTGCCCGGAGCACCGCTATATAAGGCAAGCTTCAGTAGATGGTGCTTTTCTACACAGAGGGTAGCAGGCTGAACCATCAGGGGTAGAGCATTGGAAGCTACTCCGTCTAGGGTAGGTGCCTAGCCTTGAAATCTCAGCACAAAGGATGACAGAGAGCCCAGGTTTGGAAGGGTGAGTGCTGTTTGGGGAGAGAGTACGAATGGTGTATGGAGGGCAGTTGGGTAGTTATGTGTTTGGAGGATGACGGAGAGCAAAAGCATGGACGTATAGAACTAGGACTGGTTCGCTGAAAGCGTCTTCCTTGAAGGTAGAACAGCTAATTTCAAAACAATCCATTTCAAATGGACTTGGACAGAAAAAGAACTTACTGACTGGTGTAGAAATAGCGGGTTTCGGTGTGCCTGGGCCCAGGGATGCGAGCAGGGTCAGCAGGCTTCACCCTGGTCTCTCAATGCTGCTTTCCTTGGGTTTGGTTTAGAATCAGGTTCTTCTCATTAGAGGCTCAGGGGACCACGGCTGTGTGATTATTATGGCCTTCCACGTCAGTGAGATGAGCAGGACAAGAGACTATCCCCTCCTAATGCAGGGCGTCTGAGGAAGATGCCAGCACTCCCCTGGGTCCTCATGCATCCTCAGACTTGAATAGACTAGTAGGCATGGCCTCATATAAAAATTGCATTTATTTATTTATTGTGTGTGTGTGTGTGTGTGTGTGTGTGTGTGTGCATGCCATGAGGCACATGCTGAAATCAGAGGACAACTTGTTGGAGTCGCTTCTCCTCATCTACCACGTGGGTCTTAGGTATCAAATGTTGGCCATCAAACTTGGCAGCCGGCACCTTTAACTGCTAAGCCACCTCCCTGGTTCCTGGCTGTCAGTCTTGAAGGAGGAGGGGGTGGGAGAAAACTGTAAAAAGATTCTTTTGTTGTCACCGTTTTAAGTGATGGCAGTTCATGCATCACGGAATCGTGAGATTGATTTTCAAAGTTGATATCTTTCTTTTATTCCTGGCCGCAGGCTTCATGAGGTTCCGTGTTAGAGCGCACGCTGCTGCAAGCTCTCTGCTGAATAAACCCCCTGATGTGCCATTCTGTCTTTGAAGGTTTGCACCTAGCCAGGCCTTGTCAGTCAAAGATGCCTCCGAGGTGCTAATTAATCATTGCTCTCTGTACAGGCATGGTTTTCCAAAGGTGCAAGATAATTGATTATCATTCCCCTTGCTCCAAATGCCACGCACAGGGCTTGTGACTGATGCGTGACTGAGGTGCCGAGTCCTTAGTACCTCAGGCTACCATCTTTTAGCATCTGGAGTTTCTAGTTCTCAGTCACAAGTAGGTGAAAATGAAGATGGATCCACAGGGGAGATGCCTCAGCAGGGTGTAAACCATGACTCAGAAGCCCAGTTTCTGCAGAGGGAGAAGCAGCTGAGATTAAGATGCACAATCATGATGGAGGAGAGGCTGTCTCAGACTGTCCTGCTCAGTCAGAGATAATTTCCAAACACGTCTAAGAGCCATACTGCAGGCTTTGTTACACAGAGGGACAGGCAGACAGTTCAGTACCCCCAAGCACCCTTACTCCCTCCACCTTAGGCCGTGCCATTCTTATCATTTGGGGTTTTTGCTTTACATAGGTTTATTTAGGAATAGTACAATAACAACAGCAACAGTTGCACTTGGGTAGCGGTACGCACTTGTCTGTGATCCCAGCATTTCAGGAGGTGATGTGGGAGAATTTCAAGCACTAACCTAGCCTGGGTTACATAATGAGTGTGAGGTCAACCTGGGCTACGTGGTAAGACCCCGCTTCAGTAAGATAAAACCAAACCAAAAGCAATAAATAAATAAGTAAATATCCCTTTAACCCAGAAAGCAGCTATGAAACTTCCTTATAGTGCCACCAACATAACAAGATACAAAATCAGCTCAACACTCCAAAAATATTCCTAAATAGGGGCTGGAGAGATGGCTCAGTGGCTAAGACTACTGCTGTTCTTGCAGAGGACTGGGGTTCCATTCCCAGCACCCACATGCTGGTTCACAATCCTCCCTAACTCCAGTTCCAGGAGATCCGATCGCCTCTTCTGGCCTCCGTGGGCACCAGGCATGATTCATATATACACATAGAGGCAAAACACTCATGAATAAAAAATAAAATAAGTAATATGTTTCTTTGGTTCTCCTGTAAATGATATTTTAAAAATATTTGTATTAGGGTGTTAGCTTAGCTGGTAGAGCACTTGCCCAGCAAGGACAAGGCCCTGGTTTCTAGCCCCAGCACCACAGAAACTGAGCATGGTGGCGCATGCCTGCCAACTTAGCACTTAGGAGGTGGAGGCAGGGTCATCCTTGGTTGCCTAGGGAATTAAAAAAACCAACCCAAGCTACATGAGACCTTGTCTCAATACATGAATGCATTTTAATTTCTGATCCCGAATTTTGAGCATATCAAAACATATTTGTTTTTTCCTCTTGACCTTGCTCTTGTGACCTTGCAGAGCTCACCTGTCCATTTTACAACTTATATACGATTATTATTGTGTGCTTGTTTTACAGTCCTGGGACCTTCATGCCTGTCTGTCTACCTACCTACCTACCTATCGTCTGTCTGTCTGTCTGTCTGTCTGTCTGTCTGTCTGTCTGTCTGTCTGCCTGTCTATCTATCTATCGACTGTAAGTGTGTGTGTGTGTGTGTGTTGTCCCCTAAAGGTGTAATTACAGGCAACTCTCCACATACGTACTGGCTAGTTTTGTTTGTCAACTTGATACAAGATAGAGTCATCAGAGAGAAAGGAGCCTCAGGTGAGGAATTTTTCTTAAGTAGCGATCAATGGGGGTGCTGGGAACCAAACTCTGGTCCTCTATTGGTGCAGTATGTGTTCTTTTGCTTTGTTTAGGTTTGTTTTTTGAAGACAAGGTTTCTCTGTGTAACCCTGGCTGTCACGGAACTCACTTGTAGACCAGCCTGGCCTCGAACTTAGCAATCGGCCTGCCTCTGTCTCCTAAGTGCTGGGATTAAAGGCATGTGCCACCACCACCCAGGAGCAGCAGGGATTCTTAATCCCCGAGCCATCTCTCCAAGGAAATCAGAACACACGCATGTGCACACACACACACACACACACACACACACACACGCACACAGCCCGCTGCCCAGTTTGTGTGGTGTGCCATTTCTCGCCTTCTCGCTGTAACCTCACTCCATGTTTATACTTACAAGTTTCTCGCAGATGGTCGGCAATCAGCACTTCCATTCTTCCCTAGCTGGGGAGTCTGTCTTTTATTCTCACCCCTGCTATGACTGGGATAAAAACCTGCCCTTTGACAGTTATCTTCCATCCCATCTGTCCTTTGGTCTCTCCTCCCTCAGCCTTCCCTCCATCTGCTCTTGGATTAATTCAGAATTTGTGACTTGCTGTTATTGACTTACCTCCAACTTTATGTCCCTCCAGTGGCTGTCCTAAGATCTGTCGCATGCTCCTCTCAGCAGTGGCCACCGAAGGCATCTCTTTAATTGCTCCCAGGTTGCTTTCCGAAGACAAGACATAGAAGTGAATCCTGCTCCACTGTCTGGCCCTCTCCCCCCACCGCCTTACCCTCACCTGTGTTTCCTGGAGTTTACCATGCACAACAGCCCACAGCAATCTGTGTCTATCCTCTCTTCTTCACTCGGTCCATTTCTTTCTGTAACAGTCAAAACAAGGGCTGGGGACACAGCTCAGGTGGTAGAGCACTTGTCTAGAATGTACAGAGCCCTGAATTCAATCCCCAGCACGGAATAAACTGAGTGTGATGACACAGGCTTGCAATCCCAGCATTCTGGAGGTGGAGGCAGGGGAATGAGAAATTCAAGGTCATTCTTGGCTACATAGAGAGAGGTACCTGCCTAGGCTTCATGACTTTCAACTGAAGAAAGTCAGTAGAAAACAACAACAACAATCTCACTTAAAGGTTAAAAAAAAGAGGCGGGGCTTTCCCATTTAACTAGAGTTTAAATCATTTCCTTTCTTGGCATGGATGGAGTTTCTGTCGGGTATCCTGTGGTTCTGATAAAGAGAACGGGTTACATTTCTTCCTGTCCTGGTCTCCTGCTACTGAATTCTTTCCGTTTCTGTTTGAGGTGTTTATTTCTCTTTCTGCTTTATGGAGGCATAATTCACATACAATAAAATCCACTATTTTAAGGGGTAAAACCCAGTGCTTGCAGGCTAGCCACAGTATTAAGTCGTCATCGGTATCTCCCTCTACCTTCAGAGCAATTCATCATGAAGAGAAATGCAGTACGCACCTCAGGCTCACCTTCTCCCCCTCCCTGGAACTCCCAGTCTGAGAGACATTCCACCCCTTTCCTTTTCGAAATGCATGTCTATTTTCCTTTCCGTTCCCTTCCCTTCTTTTCCTCTTCCTCCTCTCCCTCCCTCTTCCTTCCTCCCCCCTCTTCTTTTCTTGTTTTTTTTTTTGGTGGGGGGAGGATCTGGGAATGGAATCCAAGGATTTGGACATACTAGGCAAGGGCTCTACCATTGTGCTATACTATCAGCCCTCAGTGTTTATCTACTGCATCGTCCTTTAGCTGCTATAATTATAATTTTTGGTAGTATTTCTCTGAGTCCTTCCTCGGTATACCGTGTGTACTTTTCTCCTGACTGTCCCCTCGATCTCTCTCTCTCCCCGATTTACCTTGTCTGCATTTTCTGAGCCTGCCTGACTCTCTTTCATTTACCCCCTTTATTCTCTCCTCATGTCTCCCAGCTCCCTTTGGTCTCTTTTTCTCAGTTCTAGAATCCCCATTCCGCACCCTTTAGAGGATTTGACTTGCGCTTCTACTCTTTCATGCTGTTTTAAGAGGTACTCTTTCATTTTGTGCTTCGGTTTGTTTGATTTTAACAGACCTCTGTCAAGGTCGTGGCCCTTCCTTTGCCTGAGCTAAGTCTGCCATGAGCTCTGTGTGTCATCCAATTTGGGGGCCAGCACTCCACGTGGCTGTTGGCATCACCTCCATGTCTGCAGAAGTCCTGCTAGGTGTCGAATATTGTCAGAGTTTAGCAGATCCATTCCCATCACTCAAATGTTTTCCATCTCTTGGTTTTTATTGCCTTGTTTCTTGGCAGCAGGAATTGTTTCTTTTCGTTTCTTCTTCTTCTTCTTCTTCTTCTTCTTCTTCTTCTTCTTCTTCTTCTTCTTCTTCTTCTTCTTCTTCCTCTTCCTTCTTCTTCATTTTCTTCCTCTCCTCCTCCTCCTCCTCCTCCTCCTCCTCCTCCTCCTCCTCCTCCTCCTTCTTCTTGCCTTTGTGTGTGTCATAATAGTAGAATGGGCATCTTGTGAAGACTTCGGAGACTGATAACCTGTATTTGTGCCGAGACATAAGCCAAGTTCCTGCTGAACCATTAGAGTGTGCCCATGTGTGTCTGCCTATGTCTTGTTGTTCACAGGCCAGTGGCCACTACTTGCTGAAAGGCGAGTGTATTGATCACCTTTCTCACTGCTGTGACAAAATACTTGACACAGCAACTTAAGGAACGAAGGGCCTTTTGGGCTCACAGCTTGAGGGAAGAGTCTGTCATGGCATGGAGGTGTAGGGTCAAGCTGTGACGGCAGCGACATGAAGCAGCTGGCCATACTGTGGCTGCAGTCAGGAGGGAGACAGCAATACATGCTGGTACCCAGCTGGCTTTCTCAGTCCAGAAGCCCAGCCTGTGGGGTAGGGCTGCCCACATGCAGGGTGCATCTTCACAGCGACACCTTTCTCAATGGCCCCATGGTCATACCCCAAAGTGTGTCTCCTAGGTGATCCCAAGTCCAATCGGGCTGACAATGAAGGCTAATCATTGCAGGTAGAGACCTTGATTCTCTTCAGGGAAGTTATTGGGGGATGAAACCGAGGGCCCTGTGCGTGTAAGAGAAGCACTCTACAGATGTGCCACACACACACTCCAGCCTGGGCAGTAGCTGTGTGTGTGCATGCATTCAAGTGTGCTTCGGGTGCTGTTTCTCAGGAATGTATGCTTGTCCCGAGGTTAGTGTATCCCATAGGTTGCTTTGTTTGTTCGTTCATTCATTTGTGTTTTCTACAGACTACTCTTCCATCCTTTGGCCTCCTGGAGAAAGACTCCCCTAACTCCTCCACATCAGCTCCCTTGTAACTCCATCCCGCAGTCCGTCTAGGTCCGTCTGCTCTGTTCCTGCCTGTGTGTGGCATGCAACCATGGTGTCCCAGAAGCCGTTGTTCTGTCTGTCCATCTGCGGGGAGTGTATGTGGTGAAACACACAAGCCAGCTGCCCCACACAGCTAAGATGGCTGGTGGAAGGCGTGTGACAGGGTATGGGTGGTACACTTGAGAATATAGAACCCAGCAAAGAAACTTCTCTCCTGAATTCCTCGGCCATTCCAGACTGACCCCTGCAGGACCTGTGTCCTGCCCAAACTCGACTCTGTATAATTCACTCATACTCTGTCACCAGCAAGCCCCCACTTCGCAGCAACCCCATAAACATTTATCGAGTAGAGCTTCATCAAAGCTTAAGGCCCATTTTTAAATATTTAATTAGCCTCCACTCAATAAAATCTGATGGATTTTTACTGAACCACAACATTTCCCTACATATCCTTTAAGCTAAGTGGGCATGCGTTCATTCAGAGGGTACTGTTGCAGTATTGGATGTCAGATACTGGGCCCGGTCTCAGAGGGACCACGTGGCTCCCCTGCATGGCGGTGACTGTAATGAAAGCATGTCAGGTGGTGATTAATGCCCACGAAAGGAAAACAACTGGGAGAGGCTGAAAGCCACCTGTCGGGGTAACCCTTGAGTGCCACCCAAGGGAGGGATGTAATGAGGCCCACAAAAGGACACACCACCCCAGATCCGTATCCAAAATTGCACTAAGTGAAGAAAGCGAATCACAGACCAACATGGTGTGATTACTTGTATACTGAGTCCCAGGAAGACAGTTTCATAGAACAACATTGTGAGTGGAGACCAGAAGGGGCGAGTCAGGGAAGGGACAAGCTGGTCCTGGGCACAAGGTCTTGGGAGGCTGGAGGAGGATGCTTTAGTTATCTACGCACTGTCCTCTGACCATAGTAAGTTGCATGCTGGGGCAGCGAGATGGCTTAGTGGGTAAGGGGGCTTGCCACCAAGCATGACCACTGGAGTTTCATCTCTGGGATCCACGTGGTAGTGTGGTAGAAGGAGAGAGCCTATTCTTACAAGTTGTCCTCTGGTCTCCGCATCAGCAACATTACACCTTTAATTTGTCAAATTAGCTTTGAGAATTCCTCCACTGTTGAGATTTCAAACCCAACTTTGAGAAAGCATGGCGTGAAAGGGAGGTGTAGGGGAGTCCCTACTCCAGCCTGTGAAGATGTGGAAGGACAGTGACAGGTGAGCAACCTGTGGGCTGGGTGCTGGGAGCTAGGCTCTGGCACCTGGCAGAGGGTCCTGTGAAACGGGTTTTCCATCCATTTTTTTGCTATTGTCATTGGATCAGGTGTCTCCCTTTATGCAAGGACAAATTTATACTAAAAGATATTCCTGGTTTTGTTGTCATCCTTGAAAACAAAGGTCTGTTGTACTCAGCAATCTGTTTAATTCTTAGGTTCATATGAGGCTGAGGCCCCTCCCTCCTCTCTCCCCCTGGGGGAGGGGCTAGAAGACTGAAATGAGAAGAAAGTTATAAATCCCCTCTTCCCTGAGCAGCAGGCACCAAGGCACCAAGCTAAAGGTCATTATTACAAACAGCCTGGAGGGCAGGGTCCGGTTTCTCTGGCTCTGGGAGGAGGGCTATCCACAGAGCCATCTGGAACATTCCATAAAGAGGTGACAAGATAGTAAGGGAGGTTGTCGGGCGCAGGCAGGAGTTACTGCAATCACCTTGCATTTTGACGTCCCTTCTCCCTGCCCCCTAGGGGCTGGAAGTCCTTTTTCTGTCCTCTTTAGGAAGCTTGCTGGACTCAGGACTCTTAATTCCCATTTAAAGTCAGGGCAATTGAGATGATAATGATAGCCCGAGTTTATTGGGTGTTATGTTCCACTTTATCGCAAGAATCGGAACATTTATTGAGTGTGTTACCTCTCTTCCAAGCCCCATGTTAAGGGCCTTATATGTTAGTCTCTGTCTCCTGGACACTCGGTTGCTGCTTCCAGTCTGCAAAGGGGGAATTCAGGGGAGAGACAGCTCTGCCCAAGAGCAAACAAGTGGGGGGAGCTACTGGATATACTGTGCAGGGATGGCTATTGTGTGCGTGTGTGGGCATGCATGAGTGCATGTGTGTGTGTGTGTGTGTGTGTGTGTGAGTGTGAGTGTGTGTGTGTATGTGTTTGCACATTTGGAGAAAAGTGGACCAAGTCTTGGCTTCAGCTAAACAGTGACACAGCTAACAGAAGTCGGACTTAGTTGGGTGCTAATGTGTGCCAAGGTAGGGTTTTATGATAAAGGAAGGTGTCACACATCAGGGGGTGTCCTTGAATTCTGCAAAGGTGGATTGAAGAGAAAGCATGGCCAGCTCTGGATGGGGCATGGGAAGACCTTTCCTGTCTTGGTGTGCACAATCCCTGTTTTCCCACGTTGGAACAAGACCCAGATCTTATCAGAGTTCCCGGTTTGATCCTCTCCCATGCTCACTATGCTAATACTCATAGAGTTTTTGAGGGTTCCAGTGGCAATGAACCTGCAATACATGCATACTCACAGTGGCACCGAGTCACACACACACACACACACACACACACACACACACACACACACACACACACACAAAGTCCATAACTACACTTGTACTTATTAACATTGTTTCTTAAAGCCTTATTATTTTTACTTACGTGTATGTGTGTGAGGCTGCAGGAGTTTATGTGCATCATATGTGTATAGGTGTCTGAGTAGGCCAGAAGAGGATGCTGGATCTCCTGGAATTGGAGTTGCAGACGGTTGTGAGCTGCCTGATGTGAGTGCTGGGAACTGAACCCAGGTCCTCTGCAATAGCAGTAAGTACTTTTTAATTACTGAGACAACTCTTTGGCCCCATACACTTATTGATGCTAATGAGACTTTGAGGGTGCTAGTGGGAACATGCCCTTATGATGTAAACCCTCATACCCACACACCTATACTCATCTACACTCACATCGGCACACACCCACACTCACATCCATCCATCCCCACACCCACACGTACCTTGCATGCCTACATGGCCACACTCACACACGTCCACAGAATACACACACATCATGTGCATACATTCCCACCCCTCCCCCATCTACAGGACCACACTCATGCACACACACTTGTGCACATCCACACTCGCAAGCACGTGGTGGCTATGAATGCACCGAGCAGAAGATAACATACATGCACCCACACTCACCCACCCCTGTACAGACTCCTGACACCCTCATCTCCCTATATTCCCACCCGCACACACTTGCTCACACCTACCTACACACTGACATACCCCTCCACGCTCACCCCATCCTTCATCCTTACACCTATTCTTACTTCCCATACCCACATACTCTATCCCTCAATACCCACATGCTTGCACCCCCCCATACTCTCACCCATACACTTACACACTCTTCCCTACCCCAAACACTTACATTCTCACCACCACACTCACACACATTCTCACCCTCACAATCTCCCCCACACTTACACACACGCTGTCTTAGACTTACCCGCATTCACGCTCTCACCCCTCACACACACACAGCCCAGGCTTGCCTGGCTACCTTCTGATGGAAAAGTCCTGGGAAGGGCTCAGCAGTTCCTAACAGACTAGTGTTAGGACCCAGGAAAGGCCAGAGTGGGATGGATATAAATAGAGAACAAAGTTTGAGGCCCGCTGACATCACTCTGGCTCTCCACCCAAAGCCACGGGCTGGACTCTGGGCCAACGAGGTGTGGCGGAGCTCAGCTGCAGAGAGAGGCGGCACAGACATCGCCACCGAGCTCCAGGCTGTGAGGAGGAGCTCTGAGCTCCGACTTGAGACCGGAGGCAAGTGCCTGCCAGTTCCAGGCCCAGGCCACAGACTCCCGAGCCTGTAAGTTCCCTGAGGCCCTGGCCTGACCAGCAGCAGCAGCTAAGAGCTTGGGGACACTGGTGAAGCCAAGGAGGCGTGCTCACCCAACCCAGAGCTGCATCCAGCCTCCGTCACCGAAGACTCCAGTTTGGAGAGGAGAATCGCTCCAACTGCTCCCAGGCACTATAACACCGTAAACTTTAGGGAACAGACTTTGTGGCCAGAAACCTGTGATGAAGATGCCCCTGTCCTCAGGAAGCTGGAGGTAGATCGGTTCCCAGGAGGCTCTGGGGCATACCACCGCCTGGTTCCCACCATGAGGGATCTGCCAGCACTGCCTTCCCACTGGGTCTGGCTACTCTGGCCCTTCTGCAGCTTTCAGGTAATGCCCCAGGCCGCCAAGGCAGCTGGGATACGTCTGCGGAGGATGTCACCGCACTTACCTGTCATCTTCCCTTGCAGGTGTGTGGCACCCAGCTCAGAGCCCAGGAACATCCAGGTAAGGTCCCTCCCTCCTCTGATGGCTGTATGCTTTTCTCCTTGCCTTTGGGGTACACCAGGAACCGTTTGTTTAGCCTCTCCTTTGGGATTCTCATCCCCAGAAAATACATTGTGACCTTTGAGGCAACCCTGGTGTGACCAGTATCTTCAGGCTGGTGATGATGGAACTGGTCCCCCCTAGTTGCCTCTTGCTCCAGATCAAGGTGTTGTCTTCTAATCAAGGAGACATGTCCTTCAGAGTAGAATCTCTTTTGCTCTTTCAACTACACACTTGTGCCTACCTGGGGTCACCACCGTGGGAACTCTCCCTGGTGCCTCCAGACTCTCGGAGCTCGGGGCTGTGCTCCCAAGGGTCCCAGACACCACCGTGTGGTGCCTTCCCCAGCACAAGGCCATGCACAGAGGGGGTGGGGCAGGGAGACCTCAGGATACTTGTCTTTGACTGTTGTGAATCCCCCTTCAGGTGCACAAGGGTGACACTTGTTTGGAGTCGGGAAGGCAGCCCTGTTTCAGATGGGAGGGTCGCCACATCTATGGTGGGGATGAATAGGAAGGGGCTTGCGGGCTGCCTGTGGGAGGTCCTCTAGGGCTGGGGTTCTTGCTGAAGGTGAGAGCCAAAGGACAAGAATGTCTGACCCATTTCTGGGAAAGCCTGGTGGTGGGTCAGGGAGAAGAAGCCAGTGACTCAGAGCTCAGAGAGACTGGGGTTCCCAGAAGAACTGATAAACTGGACCAATCTCCCTCTAAACAGGGGCCCTGTCCCACCAGCGCTCACCAGCCAACACGGCAACCACGGTGAAGGGCAGCAGAGAGGGTGCGTGCGCATCTGGAGAATGTACCTGAAGCCTTGTTAGGGAAAGATCACCCTCTCTGCTGAGACCCGGGGGTGGGGGGAGAGCTGCCCGTAATAATAGTACACACCCGTACTCGTCTGCACATACTTAACACATGTCCACGCCTCCACTCCACACGTGAGCTAGCATCCTGGCCTCCCTACAGTTCCATGGTGCCGGGTCAGCTTTGTTCTGTGTAGACACGCCTCACTCCTCACGTGATGTCAGGTAGAGCAACGTCTCTGCTGGTGGAGCACCCACAATAGAGGACCGGCAGCCCACGTGCACTACGGAAGAGGAAGGCAGAGCCCGAGGGTGCCGGAGCCTAGGCCAGGGGATCTTAGGTGCCTTGCACAGTTCCCCATCTAGACCAAAAGGGCTTCCTTCTGGTCCCCACTCCATCCTAGTAGTTCCGTTATCCTTCCGCCTCCTGCTTCCATTGGCTTCGGGGCACAGCCACAAGGCTTTCCTCCCCTCCTCCCCTCCTCCCCTCCTCCCCACCTCCTCCCTCACCTTTCCTTTTTCCATTTCCCCTCCTTCCTTCTTCCCTTCTATTTCTGTCCTTTGTTTCTTTCATCCTCCTGCTCTACTTCCTCCCCATCCCCCGCCCTCAAAATGTCTTTTCTTACATTTTGGACTTTGGCTATGCTTTTTTTTTTTTTTTAAATAATATTCAGCCCTCTCTGCAAGGCCTGCTTGGATTTCCCCTCCTACCTCCAAAGCCCAAGAAGGCCCGAGGGAGATTTTGGGAAAACCTGATCTCTGACAGGCGCCCCCCCATGAGAACCCCAGATGGGGTTGACACATGATCCAAGGGACTGTCCAGACACAGAGACTGGGAGTCAGGGTTGGATGTCATTTGCCAAGAAAAGGAGTGGCCTTGGGATTGCCTAAAGTAAGAAGGACGCAGAGCTTGCGCCCACCCACCTGTCCATACTCCCCTGCATGGTTGCCGGGCAATGGCCAGGCTGTAGCTGGAAGGTTAATTCAAGCTCATGGAAACGGGACAACGCCATCTAGAGGGAGTTAGGGGAACTGACACCTAGGGTCACCTAGAAGTGACACAGGAAACTCATGTTTAATTGTTCTGTTGCCTCACCCTGGCTCCAGCCCTGTGCTGTTAGCGCAAGGCAGGACTCAGAAAACAGTCACCAACCATCTTCCATGCCTTGTCTGCATAGAGACAGGACTGTCATCCTATAAACAGGGTTCCAGTTGAGGCTGCCTGCATTTTCGGCTCTCTGTGTATAGGTGTCTACACTGACTCAGGTCACCAGATTGCTTCTGGATTCTTGTCACTACCCTGTGAGTGCACACTTAGTTTTAGAAACCTCAAAAATGGTGTGAGGGCCTTTGGCATGCTGACACCTTCCGAGTGTCCCTGTGGGCTGTCACTGCCGCAGAATTACAATAGCCGTAGTTAGAGCCCATGCAGCCCAGGTTCCCCTTGATAGAGAAGCCAGGAGTGGAAGGGGGATCCAGAGAGGAGACTGACCCCCACACTCATCTGAGACCCTCTCACACCCTGGGTCCTCTGCTCCTCAGGATGACCTAGGAAGCTCCGAGGTTGGTGTATCCAAACCCATAAATGGCATTCACCAAGATTGCAGGCCACTTTGTAAAAGTTTATAAACATGCCCTTTTATAGATGATGTTTGCAGCGAGGGACTGGACAAGTGAGAAAAGTAGCAAGCTGTGTCTGTTACCTAGTTTCCTTCCAGGTCACCGGGACTGCGGATGACAGTCCAGCCCCAGGCTTCACAGCTCTGCTTGGCATGCAAAGCAGGCAATGCCAGCCGTTATTTACACAGTGGCTTATGAAGGACTTCTGCAACCACCGGGTCACAGCAGGAATGCCGTTCTCCATCTTTTGCTGGGCCAGTCCAAAAAAAAAAAATAGGTATTCACGGTGGAGTTTTAAAAAGGACATTTTATGTGCATGCATGTTTAAAAGGATATTTTATGGGCATGCATGTTTAAAAGGAAATTTCATGTGCATGCATGTTTAAAAGGACATTTCATGTGCATGCATGTGTCGCCTATATGCACGTCTGGGCGCCATCTGAGTGCCTGATGCATGCGGAAGTCAGAGAGGGCGTCAGGTTCCCCGGGACTGGAGTTTTAGATGGTTGTGATCTGCCACGTGGGTGCTGAGGATCAAAGCCATGTCCTTTTGGAGGAGCAGGCAGTGCTTCAGTCCCTGGGCCATCTCTCCAGCGGCCCCCCCATTTTAAAAACAATGTTTAATTCATATCCAAAGCATGGAAACAGAGCAAGCGGAGTGTTTCCTCCCCCCCAGGGGATGCTAGATTTATAAATATATTTTATGCATATAATTATATTCTGTAGCCATTCTATGTTTATGTTTAATTATATCCCGTCTAGTTGTTTTCATACTCTGTCATTCATTCTACCTATATAGTTATGTTTTTAATTGCTAACATTTAAAATGGGAGGCTGCAAGTGCAGAAACCTGAATTTCAACACACCCAACCCCCACCCCCACACACCCACACTCATACAAACACGCACACACACACAAACACACCCACCCACACCCACCCACACACACAGAGGCATACACACAGGAGGTCTGTAATTTGATACAACCACACAAGACACAGAAGAGATGGCCCCCTCCCTCCACCACCTTCAAAGATCAAGCTGATGAGGTGGACAGGAGGCCATAACCGAAACATGGTCACGGGGCACCACCATGAGAAACAGGAGATGTGCTGGAATCAGGAAATTTCGTAAGGAGGAACGGAGAGCCAGGTTAGAAAGAGGTAGCTATGAAAACATGGGGAACAGTATTGCAGACCTTGGAGACAGCAGGCAACCTCCTTCAGGGAAATGAGCTTCATGTGTCCAAGGCCAGCTGCAGATGGCAGAGAGTGGCTAACTTTTCCGCCAGGAAGAGGCTTCAGTGGTGTCCTGGCAGCAGAGCCTAAAGGAGTGTTCCCCCCGAGGGAGGTCCCTGGCCCCGTGGGAGCCAGGCTGGAAAGGGGAGACATGGCGGTCTGGAGGATTTGAGTGTTGATGTCCATCTTCTCTCTCCTCCCCGGCCTCTCTTCTCAGAGCAAACTGGTACTGGGTTGGTAGAACATTAGATGCGCGTGAAAGATGAACTCTGAAGAGTTGGCTTATAACTATGCTGTGGACTAAAAACCTCCCTCCATTCCTTCCTTTTTCTCTCACCCCCTTACTTCCGTCCGTCTCTTCCTTTCTCTCATCCTCTCCCCTCCTTTGTCTTTGTTTCTCTTTCTTTCTCCTCTCCCCTCCTCCTTCCCCTTCCTTCTCTTTTCTCAGCCTTCCCAACACCATCATTTTCAGCCCTTGGAGGTAGTGTTACTTCCTGAGACCTGCCGGCCATCCTTGTGGGAGTCTGAGGCAGCCATGTGCCTGACTGTGCCGGGCTTTTCACCTTTGTGGTTTGAAAACAGTCATGTATTATCTTTTCCCACAAAAGAATGAAACTGTCTTGCTCTTACGAAACTTCGAGGACTGTGGGTGATCTGACCCTGTTGGGTGTTCGGGGAACCTGTGGGCTGAGTCTAGCCCATCTTATTAATGTCACACGATTTTAATTAAAAAAAAAAAAAACAAACTGGCGATATCAGCATTGGGGGAAAATTTCAAAATGCAATGTAAAACATCTGTATTTCTGACTTATCTCTCGAAGGCGGGACACCTTGAGTCAGCAAAATGGTGAACGCCTATCATGCCATCACTCAGAGGTTGAAGATTTTGAGTTCATAGTCAGCCTGGTCTACAAAGGGAGGAGGCCTTGTCTTAATAAAACAAAAATGGATTCAGGAGCTCAGTGCTGGGAAGGAATAATTGTCCTACTGTCAGCACCCCTTAGTTGTCTGTAGTTTTGTCTGGGGTTGGGTCCCTGTGAGAGTCCCCCCTTTGGCACTGGCATGTCTATTGTTGTCCCTGTTCATGTCTTGTTTATGCAGCCGTATTGTTGAGGAATCATGGTGGATGCTGCCCTGTCATTTCCAGGAGATACAGTCTCAGAACCAATTTCTTAGCTGTTAGACGTTTCCCACCTTTCCCTTCTGAGCCTATGTGCAAGAGTTGTATTATAGATATTATCAACTGGGTCTGGGTACCCCATAATCACTTGTTCTGCATATTTTGACTAGCTGTGGTTATCTGT